AAAGGATTCGAAATCCTGCTTCAATCGATTTATTCTGGATACTTTGACATGACTTGTGCCTTCATGAGCCACTTGCAACTTATCCCAGATCTCCTTCGCAGTTTTGCATCCGGAGACCCGATGATATTCTTCCGGCCCCAACGCGCAATACATGAGATTTGTCGCTTTTGAATTCAGTTGGAAGTTTTGCTTATCTTCGTCGGACCATTTGCCTCGTGCCTCCTTCACTTCAAGCGGTCCATCTAGCACAATGCTCCAGAGATCAGGATCGGTCGATCCTATGAACAGCTCCATGCGATTGCGCCAGTAGCCATAGTGCACTCCTTCGAATCTTGGCGGCCTAGTCTGAGAAAATCCGTCGGCCATGAACACTCCTCCATTGCTCGCACTCGAACTCATTTCCTCCGCAGGCAGTTACTCCTTGTTCTTCGGAGTCGGGCTCTGATACCACGTGTTGGTGGAGTCGAGCGCGAGACTCAGGAAGCAATTTCCTTCTTTGATCGATCAGTTGTACCCTGAAAACCCTAGCTGCGATTTTGGTAGAATCAAGTGAAAGAAGGTGAAATGAAATGAAACTCGAATCGACGAAAGAGGTAAAGCAGCTCTGTTTCTAGTTAATCAAAACGACACCGAAATAGAAGTCAACTGCGGGATTGATTGGGCTCAGTTTTATTTTCGATCCGCCGAATTAAACAGGCCCAACTTGTTCCTCTCCACACTGCGTTTTAGTAACTCAGTTCCCTTCTCCTTTCTTCCAACAAATCGATCAAACCCTGTTCTGCATAACACTCAGAAGCACACTAGATCAAGAATATCAATGAACACTGGAAATAAACAAAGCACAGCAGAAATGTAAATAATACGCGTGACACAATATTTTTACGTGGTATCCGATACTGATAAATTCAGTATCGACTAATCCACGGTCAAAGGTACTCCTCTTGAGTCCTTTGACGTAATACTATGATCTTCGGTTTGTGGTTACACTATTACAACTTTTGATCCCAAGATGACTCCCTGTCACTCTGATCAGAATCGCCCAGAACTTACAGCTCCCTGCTGTTGTTCAACTCGATCAATCTAATTCCCACAAGCTCTCTCCCCGACAGCTCTTTTCTTCTCTAATCAAAACCCTCAACAATACCCTTTGCCTCTGTTTTGAATTGTTGTGAGAAGAACACCCTCTGCCTAACCTCAATCACTCTTTATATACATACATTCTTTTAGCCGTTGATGATTTGCTGCCTTTACATCAGTTGATTTTGATTTGATCTTGATTAGTTCCTTCCATAATTGGCTCTCGAAAATCAGCCTTTCCCTTCTGATCAAATTCTTCTACTTTCCTTAGTTTGAGCCTACACAAGCTTGCCCATCTTCTTCCAACACAAAGTTCGAGTCCCTCTACTATACACCAAATCGTTGCTCGATCCTAACACGAACATGGAATTTGTCTCACACAAAAGCATCATTAAAGTGGTGCACATTGGGAGGATTCCAGCTAAAATCCATTTTAAAAAACTCAAACATTTTCCTCGATAATATTAATTGACCACTATCTATCTAAAAAAATTCCCATATGCCGTACAAGAAATCAAACGAAAACAATGGGCATCCAATTGGAAGATGAGAAATGATGAATATATAGCCCAATTATATTGGTGGGTGGAGGTGTTGGCCGCGCAACAACCCTCTACAATATTTCTTCCTATAGTTGCCCTTTGTCTATCTACGAAAGACGTTTGAAAGTTGGTGGCTCCATCTCCATGTTTGGCTTATTGGCTACCTTCGATTATTCGCTTTCATGTTATTATGTAAACGACTCGAACACAGACCAACCTTCAATCTTCATGTTATGAGAGGATTCATACTGACTTGATGAAAATACCTAGTGATGTGAGTGCGAAAAAACGTTATTCATTTGGAAAAAAAGCACTGAAAAATGATTATCTTAAATAATTGTTTCACAAATAATATGTACGAGGTATATAGCACACAAGATAGATCGAGAACCAGCACAAAAAAAGTTAGCCCTACCCGGCCCAACAGTTCTTCCAAGTCAACTTAGATGGATCATGGAATGTTGAAGAAGTTCAAAATTTAGTCATCTTCCCACTACTTATCTGCACTGTTGATAGTGCGCATGGCTACTTAAATGGGTAAGGTAAAAAAAGCACCCTAAACCTAATTAGAATGACTAGGTAGCTAAAATGTCAAAACATCCACACGACTTTTCATCCTCCTTTTACCGATCAGTTCATGAATTTTACTATGCTTAGCATTCACATAACATGACCTGTCGTTATACACTTGACTATATGTCTATGCCAAAATAACATTACTGGCACAAAAGATAGTATAATTGGTGAAATCAATGCCACAAACATATAATGACTTATAGTGGATTTACATCCATTGTATAGGAAGGAGATATACTGATGCTAATTGGATTTCTGATGTTAAAGATAATATATACTTCAACATCTAGATGCTTATATAGAAAGAAAATAACTTAAATCCATTCTTCTTCGTTCTGGAAAAAACTTAAAAGGGTTATAGGTATAATATGCTCCTCTACTATGACGTTTTATCAAACATGCCCCTCAACTATTTTTTACATCAAATATGTCCTTGTACTTTGAAAAAATTATCAAACATGCCCTTCTGTTAAATTTTCCATTGAAAAAATTGTCAATCATGGTTGAACCGAGATTTAGACGACCCGACATCGACAAATGGGAGGAAAAAAGTCAGTTTTGTCCCCTGTTTTATTTCCCTGTGTCTTTTCAAAGTGACATTATTTGAATGATTTGATTATACAAAAGAACCAAAAAAAATTCTAAAGTGAATTTATTAAGGATATTTTAGTCATTTGTGTCTCCCAAACTAAAGTTCGGCCTTGGTTAACGGTTTTTGGATGAAAATTTTAACAAAAGGGCATGTTTGATCATTTTTACAAAGTACAGGGGCATGTTTGATGTAAAAAATAGTAAAAGGACATGTTTGATAAAGCGTTATAGTAGAGGGGCATATTATATCTATAACCCTACTTAAAAGTGTGTTTTAGTGTTCTTAAGCGTGTAACCTAAAATAGTGATAGGCTGATATAGTTTTATCCTTAAAAAAATTTCATGTAACTTAAGAACTTTGTGGACGATGAAAATATTATTTAAATTAAAATGAACATTGTTCACGACTCTATCATAATGCAAGTCACTGGTTGTCAAGCTTTCGTACAACCACCCTTCAAACCCAACAATCTGCACTATTAGTAGTGCTCATGACTACTTAAATGGGTGAGGTAAAAATGCACCCTTAACCTAATTAAGCTGACTAGCTTGCTAAAATTTCAAAACTGCCCATTAACGCACGAGGTAATCAAAGCCCTGATACCAAATAATGCATATCTACATCCTGATTTCGTAAGTTGAAACCCAAGCCAAAAAAACTCCACTTACTTGCTGACTGCAGTAATTTAAAAGTAGTTTTCTGATGACGATTAACGTAACTCTCAGTACCGGAAAATATGATAATTGATAACAATAATGCGCCTTCCTTTGTTTGTTAGTTAGTTTTTCTATTTGTGTTTGTGTTAGTGTTAGGGATAGGAAATAGATAAAAGATAGTTTGTAAAATCTCGAAGTAATTTGAATCATACAGTTTGGTATTGATCGTATACCAATAAGAACATTTTGATTCATGATTTGTATTATAAAATATTTTTATCTTTTGATTTTATACGATCCAACCTGCAATTTATCGGACCCGACCAAGGATGTAAGTCTCTTCTCAAATCTCAATTCGTGTTAGCGGCAAACTCAAGCCTAATAACGCAACTTCTCTTTCATGCGCAAACCACAATTTTCAAGAGAGCATGGACGATCATGTCTCCATATATAATATATTATGGTGGATGTTGGGTTGCCTGGTTTTGTGTTTTTTTTTATTTACCTTGAATTATGATATTTAGTTATGCACGTGTGTTGATATTTATTTTTTACGAGAAAATTCTCAGTTATTACTTATTAGTTTGAGTTTCGGTGTAATGGACCAAATAAATTGTTCACTTGTTATTCAACGCGGTTTGTTCCGACAATACTGAACTATAGATCGTATACATAGTATGATCTGAATCAAACCATATTGTTTCCCAACACTGGTTTGTGTGGTGATACTACAAATGCAAACTCAATAAAGAACTGCGAGTTTGGAACCAGTTCACTACTATCTATACGGCGTGGTGCAGATGTGACACGTGTGTAATTTGAAATAAGATAAAATGTAATTAGTATTGATTGGTTAGATTTAGTGTATATCCTAATAATTTGAATGACTAAGAAAGCATAAAGATGCGATTTTATGCCTTTACATATTTCTCTTAATAGAATGAAATATATTTGTATGTGATATCCTTATATATCTGGTAAGTATCGATATCCGAAATTACCAAGATTTGAACATAGTAACATACATCACTCTTATGATCTTCATAGTCGAAATCACCATGGTAAATAATGTACTGTAACAAGAAGATTTACTGCTGATTTTTTTTTTCTTACAAGGAGAGGTAGGTAGGATGATGCCAAATTGCCAATTAATTTTTCATTAATGGTGTTTGACTTATCACAAAACAGCCCCTCTCATCACTACTATGTACTATTCTACTGCCAAGAAGATTTGGCTGCATGCACAATCTACTTTTATTCATTAATTATTTTATTTATTTAAAATTTTGATGATGCCATGTTATGCTGTAGACCAAGAGATGATGAAGAGAACCAGAAAAAAAAAGGAAGAAAAAAAAACAGATGATTTGGATTGCACTTAAAGTGAGTCCCTCTTCTTCTGACAAGTTGACTTTCCTCCTCTCCACAAATTTTAATTCAAGTCAGCCTCTTTTTTAAAAAAAAAAAATTCTGATGCATTTCTGATGGCTATATTTAGACATTTTTTTCCATTTAAGAAAGGGGGAAAATTTCATAATTAAAAAATCCAGATCACAAAAATGATAAACGTTCTCAAGCTGTCACCACTACTTTTTTAAAAAAATAATTAATTGAGTTGACAAAAATATTATAAACACTCATCCGTTACATAAATAAATAAATAAAACTTCCATATAATATGCCCCAAGCTCTCTATTTCACTAACAGAGTAGTAACAGAGAGAAAAGAAACCACAGAGACTTTGCAGGTGAAGCTCCAAAACAGATGGCCATGGCTTCCTGGACTAGAATCCTTCTTCCTGCTCTTCTACTTGCTCTTCTCCAGGTAACACAACTTTCTCTTCTCTTTTTTTTTTTATGTAGTATCCAATTTACTCTTACAGTTCCGAACAATTAGAAGTATTGAGATGATCAACTGGTTGTATTTAGAATTTGGGGCTTACAATTTCTTTTCATGTTAGCAGATACCAAGAACAACAGCAACGGCTAGTGACCATGGAAGAAGAGAAACAATCGACCCGCCCTCGGTCTCGATTTTCTTCAACATAGACGACCTGAAACCTGGGAACAGGATGCCAATCTACTTCTCCAACAAGAAACCTTCGAATTCGCCACACTTGCTCTCCAAGCAAGAATCCGATTCGATCCCTTTCTCTTCGTCCCACCTCGAATCCTTGCTCGAGCTCTTCTCCTTCTCGCGTGGATCGGCCCACGCGAGGGCGGTCGAGTCCACCCTGACCCTGTGCGAGCTCGAGCCGATGGCAGGGGAGACCAAGTTCTGCGCCACTTCGCTCGAGTCCATGCTCGACTCGGTCCGGTCCAGTTTCGGTCACGAGACCCAACTCAGGGCTCTGGCCACCACTACCCACTCGGCCCGACCGGTTGATGACGGGCTTGGGTCGGGTTTGGGTTCGGTTCGGAACTACACGATCCTGAAGGAGCCTGAACAAATCCTGACCAGGAAAGTGATGGGTTGTCACACCATGCCTTACCCTTACCTGGTTTACTACTGCCACAGCCCCGCCGGCGAGACGAAGCTGTTTCGGGTTCTGTTGGGCGGTGAAGGTGACGGCGGGGTGGTGGAAGCGGTGGCGCTTTGTCATATGGATACCTCGAAATGGGATCGGGATAACCCGTCTTTTCGGGTGCTGAAGATGGTCCCTGGGGAAGGCCCTGTTTGCCATTTCTTCCCCAGGTTTGATATAGTTTGGGCAGCTTTGCCTGTTTGATTGATTGGGTTTTTTTTTTTTTTTTTTGGTTAAGGAGAACTGAGCAGATTAGTGTTAGGTAATGCTTGTTATGTTGTTACTTAATGGTATGTTGCAGAAAAACAGAGTAGTGACTAGTGTTTCCTGATGTGCATAATGCATAAGAACAGAAAAGAAGTCTTCTGATGCCTCAATTTTGGTGTTACTTTTGGTTCTTGTTTGGGATCTCAAATCCACGTTTAGATAAAATCAAATTGGATCATGGTATAACTCGATTAAGCTTTTGGTTTCCGATTACATTGGATCATGAAATGAAAATCGCAATAGATCAAATTGAATCAATAGACTTTTGGTATGTCTGTTGTGCATCTTTCTTTCGCCTTCGACGATCCTTATACTTATTCGATATGATTTCGAACCTAACGGTACCATCAGACTACATAACAAGCCCGAATTACGAACTATGATCTTTACACAAAGTACTGATTAGTGTGCTGAAAGGCACAGAATTTTGTTGCAGCAAATATCTTCTCACATCGACTTCTTCAACTCCGATGACAGCAATTCCTTACCTTCTTCTTCTTCTTCCCCACCAAACAATCCTCTCTCCAACACCCAATCTTCAATCATGGCCTGAGAGTTAACACCCTGATCAGCCTGCACCATATGCCCAGCTCCCAGCACCACAACATGGCTCAACCCACCATAACTCTGAACATACCCAGCCAAATCCCCATTTCCCAGCACCCTCCAAACCTTCCTCTCCGCCACCAAAAACCTCTCGATCCCGTCCCACTTCATCGTCTTAATCCACGCTTCGCTCGACGCCACGCTATCCCTCAAATCATAGCTCCCCTGATACAGCAAAACTTTCCCCACCTTCTTCACCAAAACCTCCACTTTCCTCTTCACACTCTTCATCACTTCCCCTCTGAACCCGCTCCGAATCGTCCTGTTGCAACCCACGAACTCGATCGACTCCCTCGCCCCGAGCTTCCTCTTCACATCCTTCGATCGGAGGAATCGAGTCACCAAACCGGTCTTGTAAGGCCGTTTCCTGGTGAAATCGAAATCGGTCGCTAAACCTGTCAGGTTCTTCACCAACCTGAGGACTCTGTTTCTAGCACGCGCTGCTTGGCGCCATTTCTTCGCTTCAACCAACTTAACCGCCTTGGTTTGAACTTTTTCCACCTCATTCCTCTGCCTCTCGTTGATTAACCCCAAATAATAAGCCGTGTCGGCGTGCGTTGTGACTTGGATCACCGGATCCGTCATCCCGTTTCCGATTGCGATCCCTGCCAAATTCACCCGTTTCGAAACGGGTAACTCTTCGTTTCGTTTCAGGATGTGGTATCCGATTGAAGGGATGAACTTCCCGGCGTAGCTTTCCCCCGTGATGTAAACGGGTCGGGTCCTGAAATCCGGGTCGAGCGCGAGGAACCCGGTCAACGCTGCGTAGAGGTGTTTGGCGACGGTGTTTTGGTTTTTAGGGATCTCTCCCGGGTCGGAGGCGATGCTGAACCCGGATCCGATCGGGTTGTCGAAGAAGAGCAGGTCGAAGATCCGGTTCCAGGAACCCGGGTTGGGTTTCAAAACGACGCGGGTTTGGTTTTTGGAATCCGGATTGCACTCGGAGACGAGGTATGGGCCGAGCTCGAAGAAGTTGCCGAGCATGGAGGAGCAGCCTGGGCCGCCCTGGAGCCAGATCAGGATTGGGGTTGGTTTGGGCTGGGGCGAGATTGGGCTCTGTTGGGCTTTGTAGTATGTGTAGAAGATGGCGGAGGTGGAGTTGGGGCTGATCGGGAGGTAGCCGGATTTTGTGGGGAGGGCTTCTTTGGGGAAGTCCGGCCGGCGGGGGCATGCCGGCGGGGTGGATGAAGCTGTGGAATGCTGAATGGTGAGAGATGATGAGATTATTAGGGTTATAAGCATGAGAAGGTTTGTCGCCATGGTTTTGGAAGAAAGTGAATTTTGGTTGTCTTTTTGAGTGTATTTGATGTATATATTAGGCTAGAGAAGTGGGCAGAGAGTGGTTGGGGACTTGGGGTCGAGACTGAAGAATTCCCAAGTTGGGAGGGAAAAAGGAAGAGCTATGTGTGTGTAAGAAGTAATGTCGATGGTCTGAAACTGTCAAAGAAGGTTGTTTTGTGAAGAAAGGGAGATATTGGCTAGCCATTGGAATGTTCTTGCGAACTAAAGAAATTGGAATGTGGTTTAGTATATTGGAGAGTAGATGTTGATGATGGTTGTACCAATATGGACTATGTATTGGTGAATTTGATTTTGGGTAATGTGGTATTGGTTGTTGAAGTGGTTTTGATCTCTTATGGTAGCTCGCATATATGAAAGTTATAGGTGAACTTGAAACTCAAATTGACTTCTACCTGTTTTCCCTATTTTTTGTTATAAATATTCATACTCAAGTCATGGTGATTGACAAAAAGAATTTGGTCGTTTACATACGTGAGGAAGGTAATAAAAAAAAGGAATAAATATGAGTTCCTCTTTCTTTTATCACTTAGTAGCCGTCCGAGATGAAAGTCTCATGCACGGTTTTTAATGAGAGAAAGAAGTGAGGAATCCGATTTCTTAAAATGTGTGGTGGTGTAACGAGCAACTCAATTCGTTAAGATGAATGCTACACAAGGTTTTGAAGATAGAGTTTTGTATTTGCATGAACTCTCCAATAAACCCCTATTGAAATCGTGGTGATTTCTTCGATTATGCGGGGGCTATCAATTGCAAGTCTCTTTCAATGTCTGTATCGTAGAGCCGTTACTCCATTGAATCGCCTAATCCATGGCATTGAATTATAATCGAGAAGAAGTCATTGATATAAGAATATGACAACCTCGTGTTGTAATGATCGACATGATATGGCACCACAATCAATAATAATACAAGAACTATAACCATAATCAATTAAACAATTACACTTTAACCAATTTTAATTAAGCGACATTTTATTTGGTTAAGTTTTCGCCTTTTCGATTAGCGGAAGAAAGTAGTGGTTTGTAGGTGTTCACCTCACGGTGTTGTATCCAAGTATTTATTTTCGGCCCATACGTGGAACGTAACCCTCGGGCTTCGGCCCATACGCATCGGATTGACCTTCACTCCAGCAGCAGCTTTCTCCGTTGTGGACATCGCCAGTCCCCCAGGAGCAGACGGCAGAGTGACAGAGCGCGACGGAGACGTCAAACAGTCACGACTCACGAGTGGAAAGGCCGACGGAAGCTTTTCCCAAGCTCCGCGACTTGACGAGCTGCAACGGATTGACGTCCTACTGCTTGCTCAGAGCGACGCGAGCTTCAGACTTCTGAGCCTGAAATCTTGATCGAATCAAGGTGTGGGCGAAATCACTGATCTAGTCCTCTGCCTATTCGTGAGCAAAGTAAATAATCTGAATTTGAGTTTTGGTTTGTATCGGAAGCCCAAACTTTGGGGGATCAGAGGTTCTTTTTCTTCGAAATTCGGGCAGCATAGGGTTAAGAATTGATCGAGTTACTAAATCCTTCAATTGACTTCTAAATTGCACCTGAGTTGCCTGTAGGTTAGATGGTTGATTGATTAGCTGCTATTGCGTTTCTGAAATCCACAATTAACTGCTTTGATATCTGGATCTGTTGGGCTTATGAATTGAGGAGGATGAATATTACTTAAATTTCTCCAATTAACTACTTCAAAACTCATATCATCAGTCCACATGGCCACCATGATAACCATGCCACATTCCCTTGCCTAACAGTGTGTTGGTTGGGAGTTTCAGCCTTTCAGGTCAAATAGGTTCAAGGCTGGATTGTGATGGACAAGGGAAAAGCAATTATGGGTTCTGGTCGCAGATGGGCTGTGGATTTCGGTGATAATTCCCTAGCCCCTTCCTCGCGCGACATTCCCGATCCTCCAGGCTTCTCCCGTGCATCTCAGGAGCAGGTTTTTGTTAATTTTCTTTTATCTCAATTGATACACCAGTTTGTTATGCTCTGTGTTTAATAGCGTTGTTGACATGGGTGGATTGGGTGCAGGATGATTCTACTGTTAGCAAGCAAAAGAAGGATGCAGAAGCTAATTGGAAGGCCCAGGTTGGTTATTAAGTTCTTCTGGAATTGATCAAGCCTTGGATAGAATTTTGTAAGAAACTATCTGATGGTGGTATTCCTATTGATAACATTGCCTGTTAAGATGAGTTCTAGATTCGAGTTGGAGATGGTAGAGTTTGTGGAGTGCTACCTCTAACAGTACTGTTGGGTGAAATAATGAAATTGCTTTGGTTCCAGACCATATGGGATACTACCCCTCAACTCAAAAGGATAAAGTAAAAGCTCTCCCCTCTGGTAGAATCATAGATGGACCTTTATTTTCTTAGCAGTTTCTTCCATATAGCATATTAGAAAGAGAGCTAAATGTTTATTCTGCTCTGCATGTTAGCATCATCGTTCTATCATCATATCAACTTAAGGACAGTCTCGGTTTTGTAGGATCAAATAATATCAAAAGAAAATATGTACGAACAGATATGGTAGCAAGCACCTTTTCAAGCATTTCGTTACCTTGTCATTTTGAGTAAAGTTCCGTTGTATTATTGTTAGTTTCTGTTGACATGTTAACAAAATTTTAAACCATCGATGTAATACGCAGAAAGCTTGGGAAGTGGCACAAGCACCTTTCAAGAATTTGCTAATGATGGGCTTCATGATGTGGATGGCTGGGAATACTGTGCACCTTTTCAGCATTGGTATTACGTTCTCGGCACTTTGGCAACCATTAAGTGCTCTCCAAGGGGTTGGAAAGGGTATGCTAGCAATATTATGATTCTATGATTTGTTGCTTCCCTTATTAGAGCCGATTGTCTGGTTATATAATTTAGTGGAATTTACTCCAGTGACATGTGTTCCTTTGTGTCCCAACTCTCAACCATATTAATAGGAATGGCAATGGGGCAGGTCTGGGGCGGGTATCTCGATACCCATACCCGCCCCATGGCAGGTCGGGTAATTTATCACGGGGCGCGGGTCGGGGCAGGTCGACCCAATGGGTATGTAATTTATGTGGAAAACATCAGAAATATTCGTTCTTTTCATTGAAAGACAAAGAAAGAAACCATAATATGATAAAATGTAGTTAAATTATTGAAGAAATTGAGGTTTTCACTTATTTACAACTTTATTATAACTAAAATATAATGTAATAAGAGGAAAATCTTAAGTAATTTGATTAAGATTATATGTAATTTAGGCAAGAACGGGTCAAGAATGGGGCGGGTCAGGGTCGATGAGAGATACCCATGCCCGCCTCGCCTACAGGGCAGGTTTGACCCGCCCCAAAACAGGTCAAACATAGGGATGGCAAAAATATCCGGAACCGTAGATATCCGCCCGAACCCGGCCTAATTGGGTAGGGTAAAACCCGAATCCGAAGGATATTTAGTGGGTACGGGTAAAACCCGAACCCGAATATTGCGGGTAATGGGTGGGCATGGGTTTCTCACTATCCAACCCGAACCCGCCCGATTATACACATACATATGCATTTTGTCTTGAAATAATCATATTTTTCTCTAACATATTTTATATTTAGCATATAAATATAATTTTTCATGAAATTGTATTGTTTTAATTAGTTTTCATCATTCTAGTAAATTATTGTCATACTTTTCTTCATACGAAATGTGTGAATACGTGTGAATGTTAACATATTGGTTGGAGTTATGAAGAGAAATCATCACCCATGGATAACCGTGGATACCCGAAATCCGAACGGGTATGGGCATGGTTTTAATTTTCTACCCGTTTTATATGTGGGTATGGGTATGGGTAAAACCCGAACTACTTTGGGTAGGGTAACGGATATGCACTATCCGTCCCCGACCCGACCCATTGCCATCCCTAGTCAAACAGATCGGGTAAATCGGGTCAGGTCGAAATTGCCATCCCTACATATTAAGAGCTTTGATATGACTTACAAATCTTGTTTTGTGTTTTTCTCGACGTAAAGCGTAGTTTTGTTTACTGTGGAATTGTGGACAGATTAAATGTTTCATTTTTTTTGGTTGCTATCATGAAGTATAATCTCTATCAATCATACTTGGCAGCTTGTAATATGTTACTATCTTTTTATGCTGGAAGCTAATTCAAAGGTTAACCTTTTCCTCTCCTTCATTCTACAGTCTTTGAACCATACAAGGACAACAAAGTTGACCTCCTTGCGCCTAAGTTGGTATTCATTGCCCTAAATTTAGGGGCTATGGTGCTGGGTGTTTGGAAGGTGAGACAAGTTTCAGGCCAACTCCTTACAAAGATGCAAATGTGTTCATGTTTGATGCTTACGTTGACATGACTAACCTCCTTTTTGTTATGGCAGCTTAACACATTGGGTCTTCTGCCAACACATGCATCGGATTGGGTTTCTTCTCTACCGCCTGCTCAGGTCCAATTTCTCGATCCCAATTGTTTCATCTGCTAACTCATGTAGGATGATATAGAACGGAAAAGAATTTGAAAGCCAATTTAAAAATCTTCTTCTTTGACTGCGACAAATTTCAGTGTGTGGAGCTTAAATCAAACACAGTAACAACATTTGAGGGCAATTCATTCTGTTTAAAATAATAAATTCCACTAGTTATGAACTGATTTTGATGTAAATTAGCGAGCATGTCGTTAAAGTAATGTGACCAAAGTTCAATTCAGTGCCTGTTGAGGCTAGAAGCTAGTTTATTCTGCCATTACCGACTTGGTTGGTTCTTGCTTGGAGAACATTATTTCCTGTGTTCTTGTCTTACTGATGGAGGTTGTAACCCTTGTTGTCTAATTTGCAGGAGGTTGAATACTCTGGTGGAGGCATTGCATTCCATTAACCCTTTTCCGCTCTGAATACGAGCCTCTAATCAGCAAAAGAAAGAACTTTGGCGTTACATTGTGGTATCCTAAATTCGAGCCTGGTGTTGTGATAAAACTAGACACACTTCTTCCTTTAGTCATGTTAGTTCTTACAGTTGACAGTAATCGCAGGGGAATGTGTGTGAGATGTACTATTTTGGTCACGAATCACCTGAAGTTGAAACGTTTTTGTTACTTCAATTTAGAGTTGTTTGGAAGTATGAGCATACATTTACAATGCTATAACTGTCCTCTCCAAACAAGCAAATCAACCTGCCTTTGGTGTCTTTTAAAGCTCAACGATGCTTGAGCATATTGACTGAACAAAATTAACGACGAACTGAAGAAGTTAGGAGCGGCCATTTTGCTACAAATGGATAATTTAGGTTCCGGTATCATTATGTTTTGAAGTTCGGTGACCATTTAGTTCCATTCAAAATTATTTAGGAACCAATTAGTTTTAATTCCAAAACTGGGGTAGTGTCTTTGGCATTCCGGTCCAATAATAAGTCCAAATAACTTGGTCTGGAACCCTTTTAGGCGGGCCGGATCAACGGCTGGTTTCCGCGGATACCGATCGAACCGGACGAGCGCTTTCGGTCTCGAACTATTACGACACCGTTTCGTGTTTCAGAAGAACAAAGAAAAAGGAAAACAATGGAGGAAAAACGGAACCCTCGGCCGCTTTAGCATTAGACCTTTGCACTTCAGCAGCAGCCTCCGACGTCGCCTCTTTTCCAGGGAGCAGAGAGCAGCGAGAAAGAGAGAGCGAGCGGTGGACGGCGAACAACGGCGAAAGTTGTACTAAAGGCCGACAGCTTCCTTCCGAACGTCGGAGACGGGCTGAACAACCGTCCGGGAGTTTCGAAAAGCGAAAGATCAGACTTGTGAAGTTTGTGTAGGGCTGCTGCCGTGTGCTGTCAAGCTATGGGGAAGAAAAGCGGGAGCCAAAAGAAAGGTAGCGGGAAACCGAAGAGTAGTTCCCGCCATAAGTATGCTAATCCAGAAGACATGGATGATGAGATTGATGTGTGTAAGTATGGCGAATCCTTATGCTGTTTCATGTATCTGTACATTTTTTTATTAGTTATGCTTGTCTTGAACTGGTTCTCATTATACCCGTATCTTGAGTTGAGCTTGAAGTTAGGGTTCATAAGTGTGAAGTTCTCCTTTGATAATTTGCTGCCACATTCCTGACTTCAATTTTTGCTCGTAACACCAAAACTTTGTGGAGTTATTGTGAAGTATTGATATAAAGAATGGCTTAATTATGCCTTGTACCTTTGAGGATCTGTAATGTGCTTTTGTTTCTTTCTTCTCTATGTCCAATAACCAGTTCACAAGCAGAGAGATATTGTCCCGCTTGATTTGAATGATGATTCCGGAGAATCTAGTGATGAAGAACATCCAGTTTTCGAAGACGAGGTATTGTTCTCTTCTCTACAATGTACTATTGGTTTAAGTTTCTTGGTATGAGTGACTAGGCTTTTAAGTGGTGTGTCGTGTTAGAAGGTTCTGTCTCAAACTATGAAATAGTGAACTGAAGTTCTTCTTCCTTTGTTCTGTATAATGGTTGTAATAAGTGAATGGGCTGGAATGAAGTTGGGGTAGATGTTTCAATGAATACAAACTTGTGCAACCTTTTCTGTACACTGTGCTGTATGATCGCTAATGATTGTATGTATACACTGCTGGCGATTCTTACAGGACATCAAGGATGTCAGTGATGATGAAGATGAGGATGAAGATGGTGATGTGGAGGATTATGGTAAAGATACGGGGCTAGCAGCAAAAAGTAAGATGATATGCATACCTAGTTTCCCTAGTTCCATCTGTTCTCTAGCAGGAAATTAAGAGCATTTTATACGTGTCCCCATATTTGCATGATTCCTTATTATCTTTTTCTGTAATATAGGATCTTATTGGGACTCATGTTCTAAGTTCTAACATATTCCTAATCGGATCCTAGTTTTAGCTGAGAGTAAAACTAGGTGAATTCTGGAAGAATTTTGTTCATATAATTTCTTATGATTATTGGCAGTTGTCAGACAAATGAAGTATCTCAAAGAGAAAATGCCTGGAATTGATGATGAAATGCAAGATAGCGAGGACGATGAAGAGGAAAACAGGTCGACATGGGCTGGACACAAGAGCTTTTACCATGGTGGTGACAATCGTGACATTGAAGTAAGATATTGCGCATTTGTTCAGCCTGCTGAACGTATTTTTAGCAAAGTAGACTTTTTTTATTGGTTGGTTGCTTCTTTTTGCAGCCTCAATCAAGTGATGAGGAGGAGCTACAAGAAGAGGAGGAAGAGGTTAAAAGACAGCAAGAGTTAAAAGCAAAATCATTATCAATGACAGACTTTGGTCTTGAAGATGTGGAGGATGGAGATGAGAGTGACCAAGAATTATCACTAGAGGTAGGTTCTTCCTCTGGCTCTCATGTTGTCAAGACATGTGTATTCTTTTCCTTCGATCTTGAACTAATGACATTTAACCTGGTTGCCATATAGCAAATTAAAGCTGGAGTTAAACCCTTAGGCAAAGCTCACTCAACTGAACCTAATCTTAAGGAGGCAGACAAAGATTTGAGGGCTTTATCTCAGGAAGAGCAAATGAATGCTGTATATAGGTATTGATTTGTCTTTGACTTTCTTTGTGTCTCCATTTTCTACATTGTTTATGTATTCTCTTGAGGTTAAGCTGTGCATGAAGGACCAGTATTAAGCTTTGAAATTAAATTCAGATTCTTCTATCCTGGTTTTGAATGTTTTCCCCCAGACGTGGTCCATTTTCCTGAAGCACGTGCTGCATGACTTCACACGTTTGTTACTTTGCATTGCAGTTCTGCTCCAGAATTAGTTGGGTTACTGTCTGAGCTGAATGATGCACTGGAGCAGCTTGAAACTAGAATCAATCCAGTTCTAAGCAAGGTAGCAGTTGTCTTCTATTTACGTTTCAATCCTCTACTTCTTTGCATCTGATGTCGTTGATTGTGCCCTAGAGAATAGGTTTTCTCTTTCTTTTTCATACAGCACCTTTGAAGCCACCCTGATTTTGCATGAAAGTGGGTTCATATAGTAAATAATTTTGTGTTTGTGCAGGCTAAAGAAAGCGGAATCCCTATGGAAGGTGGGCTTCGATTTTTGGAGGCAAACCAGCTCCTTTTGCTGGCATATTGCCAAGCCATAACATTCTATCTACTTCTCAAGTCTGAGGGTCTCCCAGTTAATGACCATCCTGTCATTGCCCGCCTTGTTGAGCTTAAGGGATTATTGGATAAGGTTTCTCTTCCTTCTTAAAGATAGACTTGATTGTTTATTGAAATGTCCCACTGACGAATGGCATGTGTCTGTGATGCATGACTTTTGCCCTGTTGGATTATATTGCATATCATCAGTATGTTATAGTTTGGGCATCAGTGTCTTGTTTGCAACTCATCCATAATCCACAAACAGCTGTTATCATGCTCCTGGGTGGAAGCTTATACAATTAATATTGTGGATGCTCTTCAAACAGAGAGTGTCTTTGTTAGCCATTTTCTTACATCCCAGGCCTTTTCTTTTTATTTGAAAGTCCAAGTGAACATCCTTTGTGGAAATAGGCTGATGTTTTGGCATAACTGGAAGTGATCTGATGAAAAAAAAAAAATTAGAGCTATGATTATCCAATTTGCTTGAATGTTGGTTAAATCAACTTTCGTTCAATATTCCAATCTGTCCAATAGATTTTAACCTCTTAAATATTTATGCTGTTCTCCAATAGATGAAGCAACTAGATGGAGAACTTCCATCAAAGCTAGAGGAGTTTCTCAAGGAAAATATCAGTCCTGAAGATCTAGGCAAGTTCATGAAAAAGGATGCTGCACCTTTGTTGGCGGTGGACCTAGTGACAAAGAAGGATGATCTCTCTCTCGCCTCAGCTGATACACGAGAAATTGCAGAGGTCAAGCCAAGTTCACAATTGTCTTTTCCACCTTGAATCTTCCAAGTGATTCATGCTCATTTTTGTTATTAACAAGTGGCATTTTACCTCTTCTTTCTGTGCTGCGGCCACATCAGACAAACGGGCTGGTGAATGGAAACTCTTTGAGTGACCATCCAAGGAAAGAAGTGAAAGAAGGAAGGCATAAGCGCAAGGTGAAAATCCTCTTTTTCTTGTCCACTATCATCACATTGAAACCTCTTTTCTTTGTCCATCTCTGCCAATTTCATTTTTGGTCCTTCAAAGTAGGGGTGGCTATTTGGACCGGGACCGGATGAAAAACCGGAAACCGGACCATATAACCCGGACCGAGACCGGACCGGGACCGGATAGTAAACAATCCAATCCAATCTTTGGGCTTAGATTTGAGGTAAAAAACCGGATAAAGACCGGATAAGAGAGCTCAACATCCAAAACTTAAGGGTAATTTGCATAAACGGTCACAAACCTTTGCACTTAGTACAAAACTTAACCAACTCCTCACCCTTTTAGGCCTTAGGCCACTCAAATTTCCACAATCTCAATATAAAACCAAGACCGAACTGGGACCGGACCGGGTCAAGACCGGACCGGATCAAGACCGGACTGTATCCAATCCAATCTTCGGTCCTTATATTTTCAAAAAACCCGGACTGGACCGGATCAATTTGGGCCAATTTAACCGGACCGGACCGTATAGCCACCCCTACTTCAAAGTCGATGAAAACTGCATCTGATGTTGTCTATTAAAATTAACAGAATGATGAGGTCGGTGTTGAAAGTACAGAAATGTTGAGAATACGAGCTGCCCTGGAGGAAAAATTGAAACAAAAGGGGGTCTTCAGCTTCGTTGCCTCCGAGGAGGATAAAGTCAAGAAGAAGCATAAACAAGCAAACAGGTGTTTTCTCGTTATGCCTTCATGAACCAAGATTCTTGTGTTCCTCTCTTGATGAAGCTATTGACATTTTATCTCAATTTCTCCAATTTTTGTCTTGAAAAGCCGTCTTGAAACACGTGACGATTTTGATGACGATGCCGTTGATCTTAAAAATGGCCACCATGGAGCAGCTGACAGACCAACAAACTTGTATTCCAAGAAACTAAAGGTTTGAACTTGGTGCAAATTAGTTTGAATAATGAAGTTAATTGGCTGTTATAGCTGAGTCAGTGTTGATTGTATGTGTGTAACATCATACCTTCTTTTCTTGTGAAAAGGTCGTTTCTGGTGATGAAGATATACCCAAGAGAGATGATATTGGGGAGAGGAGGAGGAAACATGAACTGAGGGTTTTGGCGACTGCTGGAGTAAGGTCTGAGGATAATGCTGGGGATGAAGATGAGTTTGACCAACATGTAGAAGATGGTGATGCATCTCCTGAATCCGAAGAGGAGAGTGATGCAGAAGAAGGCTCGGAAGATGAGTCGGAAGAAGAAGCGAATGATGTCAAGGATGTGAAACCGGTTGCTGCAAAGGCTGAGAAAAGGTTCGTCTATGGGCGAGTTTGTTACTTTGTTTTAGCTTTTGTTTAACAAAATATGGTTGACTTTGTAAGTTTTTTTTTCCTCAAGTTTATCAAAGGTTTGTTACTTTATAAGCACCTCCCTCTGAAGTCTGAACTTCATATTATTTTGCAGAAATGCAGCAGCTCCATCTTTGCCCGAACCAGTGGATGGAAAACGACTTATCACGTATCAGGTAAGAACAGTGAAGATAATTAAACTGCCTGTCGCTCCATGTTCGTTGCTTTATGACGGCACTAGAGTTGGCAACATTGGAATTTTATTCTGTCACATTCCTGCAGATGGAGAAGAACAGAGGTCTGACCCGAAAACGGAAGAAGCTAATTAAGAATCCCAGGAAGAAATACAGGGTACGTGTCGACGATGAAACCTTTGTTATGCTGCTGGCCTCATTAACTACTATGTTGAAAAGAGAAACCAGCTGACATTATCTGGAAAACGTCTTGCAGGTGAAGCATCAAAGTGCAGAGAAACGGAGGAAGGGGCAGGTGGTTAGTATCAAGAAGCCGACGGGGCCTTATGGAGGTGAAGTTTCTGGTATCAACCCTGGAGTCAGTAGAAGCATTCGAATGTGATGAAGAAGAGAGACGACAGAGCTGGACAATGGTCTCGATTTTTTTTCTTCCCAGAGTATTTATAAGTTTACAACTTTGTATCTCTCTCTCTCTCTCTCTCTCTCTCTCTCTCTCAAATTTTGTCATGACTCTTGATTTCACCTAGTTATTCGAAAGAGAGATTCGACACTGGCAGACAGCAAACTATGTAATATTTATGCTGTTGGCATAATATGCAATTTTTGGCGATATCCTCCCATACTGTTAGCTAATATATGTTCCTTAATTTTGCCTGAGCTTCTGTTTGGATGCCCTTGTTGAAAGTTATACTTAAAATGATATCTTGTGCATTCATCTGTAAGTGCTTTGCATCTACTCAGTACTTGTCAACAAAAATTGTAGCGGAGATTTTAGTTAGCGAGAGGGTGTTTTGTGTTGAAATTACAGTTTAATCGTGTTTCAATCGACGTAACACCAAAAATAGGCTACCGATCGATCACCGGTACAATACAATACGATTTCACAATTCGATTCAATCCCAGCAATTTCATAAATTATAAACATTCCATAGAGACAACAGAAAAGTAAAAGAAAGAATAAAAAATTGTGCTTCTTTCCAATAAAAGAATGCATACCCTACAGTATAATAACAACACAAGTTGTCAGAACCAAAAAAAAAAAAAAGTTTTGTGCCTCGAAGCAATTTTCTGCAGAACGCATGCCGGGATCCGCAGTGATCACCTGCTACACACGGTTTCATCGCAAACTCTAGCACCGGGACCAGATCGGGCCGCGGAATAGCTCTTTGAGCTCCAGAAGGAGAAGCAGCCAGCAGCAGACTCCCCGCCGGCGGCGGCGGCGTCCTCTGGCCTACCGCCAGCAGCCGCCGCCGCCGCTTTTTGGCGATCAATCTTCTCCTTGTAAATCTTTCCAGCGACGTAAGCTTCCGCCAACCCTCCCATGCCTATAGTCGCCATTACGGAATAGAAGTTTGCCGCTGCTGATGATCAGGCGCAAAATGCAGGTGGCTGCTAATTAAGAAACCGATGAAAAAAAATGGATGAAGTAATACAGAGGGTTTAAGAGAGAGAGAGCGTTGAAAGATAGATTTATGAAAGAAGGGAGGGAACTTGGCGGGGAATTTATAGAGTGGCAGAAATGAACGGCGGAAGCTGCGTGGGAAAGCGGGGACGGCGACTTGCTCTTGCTAATTCTCCGGGCGGGCGACGGCAGACGGCTGTGTTTGTTGACTATTAATTTAATCTTTTTGTTTGTTTTCCAATTTTGGTTTAAAATTAATTAATAATTTCTATTGGTGGGTTTAGGCGAAACGTGTGAAATTTGAGGTCGTCCCCAATACCTACTTTTCGCCCAGTATTACGTAATCAAAGGCGTCATTCATTTCATGCTACCCGCTTAATTATGAAATTTTGGTTAGAGTCCATAATCTGTATATAAGTACTAAGTAGAGTTAATTAAAAAAAGGTTATCTTTTGGGAATTGCTTTGGGTCGCAATTGCATAACATCTGAAATGAGGACGTCTGCAAAGATGTGGGATAAGGCTGGTTGTCGGCAAGGAACTATATCGGTTGACTTGTGTATTTATACAACCATTTTACTGTATTAATTTAAGGTAGCAGATAGTGATACAAAACTCTGTCTGCAAAACCCTGTCATATTAGTGTATTATCGTGATACGATGATACACGTCACGATGATATGATCGAGTTTTACAGGTCGGATTTTTTTTTTATCGGAACCCAAACTTTCGTTTAATCAGTAAGCCTTGTCAACTATTTTTTCACAACAAACAAAAACACTCTCTCATTGATAGAAACCCGAGTTAACGAGCCGGATTGGGGGACCGCACTGGTCGGGCAGTAATGGTTCGTTTGTTATTGTTGAACACCTACTTAGGGGTTCATAGAGAAACTATTGGGATTAAGGAATTGTTATCAATAAACTCTACAATCCCTAATCTCAATTCTCTTGTGTTCTTCCCCAATTCTCTTGTTTGAGCCCGATCGACTGAGGGTCGCTCGGGTCCAAGGGGTTTGGGGTGTCAGCCATGACCTTGAAGGGGTAGGCGCCCCGCCTCGTCCGAAGCAGAAGAAGAGAAGAAGTATATAGAGAGAGAAAGTAGAGAGAAGTTAGAGTAAAGAGTAGATAGATTGCCATTTATGAGGAGAGAACTCCTATTTATACACTTTGAGGGTTAGGTAGTGGTCTGGGCGCCTGCCAAGCCATAAATGCTATGGTCGGGCGCCTCAGACTTTCTGACACTGTACATAGTCCTTTTTGACAGAGGGTGTCCCCCTGCCCCTTGTCCTTGCTTCTGTCAGGTGCCTGGGCTTGTCTCTTGTCTCCCAACCTTGTCTTTTTGCTCTTTTGTCTTCTTTCCTTCTTTATGCTATTTCCTAGAGCTTTGCCTTGGGGGTGACTAATATACCCTATCAATTGCCCCTTTTGGCGATGGCACAAGTAGTGTGGCGTCGTCAAACAAGTGTACTCTTCGAAGAAGGATAAAAAAAAAAAAAAAAGATAAAATAATAAAAAATAAAAAATAAAAAATAAAAAATACAATCACGAGAACAACTAGAAACTAAAAAGAATGAATAATAAAAGAATAATGAGAGATAAAGAATAAGATAAATAATGAAACAATAAAAATAGACCCCATAAGCGGGAGCGATCAAACACCAGGGGTGACACTCTGATATTTTCTTTTTGGGGGGGGGGGGGGGAGATGTGAAGGCGTCACCTTAAATGGACTGTTTAAGGTGGTTTTGGGCCAAGCCCATTCCCATCCTTGGGGTAGGCCAATTTGGAGAAGGGAGAGGGGGTGGGTTGTGTTTTGAAGGTGGCCTCTCTCCACTTAGCCTATTTAAGCACCTCTCCTCCTCATTCCACCACTTTTTCACTTTTCCCTTCTTCAGTCCGCCGCCCCCTCCATAGCGCCTCTCTCCCCTCCTATTTTATTTTTTCGGCAGCCCCTCCTCGTCGGCGCCTCCCCCCGCGTCGGCGCCTCTCCTTCCAATCCTCGGCGCCTCTCCCCGCGTCGGCGCCTCTCCTTCCGATCCTCGGCGCCGCGCCTCGCATAGGCGCTTCTCCTCTCGCAATCTTCGATCGCGAGCTCGTAAACCTAGCCCCTCGGCGCCGCGCATTGCTTCCGTCGGCGCCTCGTATTTACTTCGCTTGCTGGGTGGGCGCCTCCTCCTTTCCATCGACGCAGCCTTTTCCTCCATCATACCGCGGGCGTCACTCACCTTTAGGTAAGTTCTTATGAACGGGGGCGCCTCCGATTATCCCTTTGCTAGATCTTGTACTCTTTTGCTAGGCGCCTAGGATGATGATTCTTGCGAGGCGCCTCCCCCTTTTTATTGTTGGTTGTCGAATTTTACTAGGGTGAAGCGCATTCCTTTGTTTGTTACCAAGTTTTGACGATGATTTTGTGAGGCGCCTTCGATGCTGATGATTCTTGCGAGGCGCCTCCCCCCTTTTCATTGTTGGTTGCTGAATTTTGCTAGGGCGAAGCGCATTCCTTTGTTTGTTGCCAAGTTTTGATGATGATTTTGTGAGGCGCCTCCGATGCTGATGATTTTGTGAGGCGCCTCCCCTTTCTGTTTATCGAGTAGTTGTACTCTTTGCTGGGCGCCTTTGATGATGATGATTTTGGTGAGGCGCTTCCCCCTTTTCTTTGTGAAATTCCTTTGATGAATTTTCTTTGGTGATTTTAATGTAATGCCGTCTGTAGGCTTCTTTCAAAAGCACCGCTCTGCTTACTCGCGCCATAACACTTTGTTTGCTCGCAGGTTTCAACTTCAAGGCGTCAGAGGCGCCTATCACAACACAGTCACGGGAGGCAACGGTTTTCTACCCGCGCGTTATCGGCTTAGGCGTTGTACACGCTTCTCTTCCAAGGTTAACTTCGCTGCTTACCACTCACTCATGGCTTCCAACAATTCTCAACCTTCTGCGTCTGTGGGTGGCGCCCCTGCTGAAGATGATACGTCAAGTGCGGACCCCGACCCTCGCACGTCTTCTTCTCGGACGGTTACCGATTCAGGCTATACGATTTTGCCATGGCGGGGGATGTGGGGTGGTGAGGCGCCTCCCTCTTCGGCGCGCCTACTAGGTCCTGACAAGCGACCCAACATTCAACTGCATCGCGTTGTATCTTATATCCGCGGCCTAGGTTACCATACGGACTGGGGATATGCGGTTCCGGATCGTAATGCTCGCATCGGGAGTTGCCCCGAGGGTTGGTTTGCGGTTTACTCGGAGTATCTGAAGTGCGGTTTGAAGTTCCCATTGGATCCTATCTTGTCGGGTATTTTGGAGATGGTTGGATGCCCTCTTAGCTTTCTGTCTCCTTCGCTTATCTTTCACACTTGCGCCTTCCGGCTCATCTGTAAGCGCTTAGGCTATATCCCTTCATTCTCTATCTTCCGTAGCATATATGCACTGGAGCGGGGTAAGCATGGTTGGTCGGCTGTGAAGCGTGATAGTAAGTACCAGGGGCGGGTTTGCAAGGGATCACCTAAGCTCCCTAGCAAATGGTATTGCTCTTACTTCTTTATTAGGCCGACTCCCGGCACTTGGCATGCACCAACTTCGGCGCCTCTCTCGACTCTGTGGGGTGAGGGTTCGGAAGAAACATGGGCCAAGGATTTTACCCTTGCGAAGCCTGAGCGGGAACAGAAGCACCACATTCTTCGTGCGCCTCCCGTGGACTTTGGGAGAAAAGGGGAGAGAGCGCGCGCCTTGGGAGAACTTTACGACCATGGTACATTCCTTTCGAATGATTTTATTCTGTCTCCCAACTTATGGTATTTGCATAACTCTTTTTTTTGCAGATTTTGACTACTCGAGCTTAGCGAAGATGACTAAGAAGATTCCTGGGGCCTCCGGAGCTAGGGCACAGAAGGCGCCTAGCATCCCTGCCGAGCGAACTCCCCGTTCATCTGGCAAGGCGTCTGACGACATCGAGGAGGCGTCTCCTCGATTGTTTCCTTCCTTGGGGTCACGCGACCCTCTCCCAGAGAAGACATTAGGCAAGCGCCATGCCTCGGCCGACTCTCCCGTTGCGGTTCCGAAGAAGAAGAACAAGCCAAGTCTTGGGAGTATTGATGAGATTTTGGCACCTCCTCGCTCGCGAAGTGCCGTAAAGCCGAAGGAGCCTGTTCCAATCTCTCCTTCTGCTGCCCTCAATGCTCCAAGC